GGGGAGAGTCCAGGTAGTAAAGATGAACTTTCTCCCGCGCCTATTATACCTCCTTCAGGCTACACCTATCACGATACCGAAAACATTCTTTAATACCCTTAGAACTGAAATGACTAAATATATATGGAATAACCGAAGACCCCGAATACGACTAACCACACTAATGCAACCCAAGGACAGAGGGGGTCTAGCCCTCCCAGGTTTCCACCAATACTGTGTGACCACACACCTCCAGAGGGTGATGGAATGGTCGAAAGAGGGAGTGAACAAGCTATGGAGAACAAGCTATGGAGGAGGCAGAAGCAGGTAGGCTGATTTCAGAGCTACCCTGGGGCTGAGACCCCAAGGGCAAGGAGGAAATGTCCATATACACAAAACACACACTAGGCGTATGGTGGAAAGCTGCAAAAGTAGGGAACCTGGCACCATACCCCTCTCCGCTCCTACCACTGACCCATAACGAAGACTTCCAACCGGGGTTGGACCCAAGAGCATTTAGAGATATTCTCCCAACCCCCTCACCACGCCTACACCACATCATACGGGAGGGGAAATGTAGGCCACTGACAGACTTAGTCGGAGAGACACCCCCGACCTTCCTGCAACACTTCAAATATGCTCAGCTGACCAAATATGTCCACACTCTGCCACAGGGTCCAGTACTCAATAGAGATCGAACCACATTCGAAAAGCTGTGCCAACACCCAGACCCAGTCCCACACGGAATCTCCCTACTCTACTCCACACTCCAAACAGAGACCTCCACAGAGAAACCCATATTCATAGGAAAGTGGGAGACAGTCCTAAACAGATCATTCACAGATGCGGAATGGGACTCCATTTGTTACTTCACACACCCCCATGCTCGGTACACAGCAGAACCCAAGAGACAGCCTATCAGCTATTGACACATTGGTACAAAACACCACACCTCCTACTCAAAATCGACACAGACCATACCGAGGTGTGCTGGAGGTGTGAGAGAGAGGTGGGCACCACAATACACATTTGGTGGGAATGTGACATGATAACCCCCCCTCAAAGTCTGGTTCGACCAGATGGAGGAGCTCAGATCTATAGAGGAACTGAATATGTCAGCCTCAGTAACCCCCACGAAGTCTACAGACATATGGACACACTGGATTCTAGAGACGGCAAAGGAGGACTTTCAACAGAGACTCCGACATAACAATTAGACGATAGATACTGGACACCCACCACCCCTCCCCCCGCACTACCAGGGAAGTAAAGGGAAATGAGACCCAATCGACATAGAACATCCAGCAAAGGGATCAGCTAGCCCTACTATACCCCAGATAGTGATTGTGACGAGACCAATCTCGCCACATTGCATTGGAGAAGCCTGGTTGCTCGCCTGCTGCCTTTGGACTATGGCCCCCTGTTAAAAGACATCTTTTTTACCTGCAGAAAAGCTTCATTCGTGCTTTTCTGCCTGGGGTTCGGTAGATTTGTTTGAATGTGTTATACCCCAGATAGGAATCCCATGGAGCCCATTCATATGAAACTGACTGTAAAGACTTTGGCTCCATGGCGATTAAACTGTATTCGTGTGGTCTGAGCGCCATTCACTTAATAATGTGCGCTCAGACTTGAGCAATCTGGGGATATATTAAATGTATAGTTTTAATGTAAGGTGTCTTACCTGATGTATTTTAAAGTGTTTTACTGTCTTTGTGTCCCCATGTACTCAATGGAGTCTGCCTCTATCCCTGGATAATTGGATTACTTTCCCCATTGTCCAGGATAGAGGGCTCTGTAAAACCTGTTTGAGCCAGATAGCCATGCTGCCAGCCAGGGTACAAAAGATACTTTTTACTAACTTTTGAACCCCTGGTCTGATTCATGACATTTTTTAATATGTTGTTCCCCTGAATGGATTGATTGTGAATATGGCGCTCTGGTGGTATATGGCACAGTATATACCCTGGACAGCTGAGCATGACAAGCCAGAGGGAGAGGAGTTTGATGGTCCTGGCTTGTTATGGGAGTCCTTTGCAGAGCCTGACTTCGGGAGCCCAGCGCAGAACAGACTTCAGGAAATTTTCTACGAGAGGGAGGCTAGGCATGACTGGGATGACCCCCATGATGTAGAGCAAGACCTGGCTCACCTAGCAACCCTGGAGTGGGAACTGGAGCAGGACTACCGAGATCTCTTCCACTACATTGGGAAGGCTCTGCAGGACAGCAGAGTGACAGATCCAGTCTCAGACCCATTCAGCTGGGAAGATATTGTTGAAATTTACTGGGAGGAACCCCAGGCGGCAGGTGGAGAGGGGACCGAGGTCTCTCCACCAGTATTGCAGGGAATTGGGAGCAAGAGCTCCATTCCCCAGCGGGAGATATTGCAGGGAATTGGGAGCCCAAGCTCCATTCCCCAGCGGCAGGCTGAGTTACAGGGGGCAGAGGTAGTTGTTCCTACCCCCCAGCAGCAGAGTGATATGCCGGGAAGGCAGTGTGAAGTGCAGGGAGAGGAGAGCAGCGTCCTCCCTCCCCAGCGGCAGGCTGAGTTACAGAGGGCAGAGGTAGTTGTTCCTGCCCTCCAGCAGCAGAGTGATATGCCGGGAAGGCAGTGTGAAGTGCAGGGAGAGGAGAGCAGTGTCCTCCCTCCCCAGCGACAGGCTGAGTTACAGGGGGCAGAGGTAGTTGTTCCTGCCCCCCAGCAGCCAAGTGATATGCCGGGAAGGCAGTGTGAAGTCCAGGGAGAGGAGAGCAGTGTCCTCCCTCCCCAGCGGCAGCGTGATTTTTTGGGAATTGGGAGCCCAGTCTCCATTCCCCAGCGGCAGAGTGTCCTACCGGGAATAGAGAGCCCAGTCTCCTTTCCCCAGCAGCAGGACTCTGTATTGGGAGCAGAGACAGTCGGTCTCCCTCCCCCGCGGCTGGAAGTATATATGGGAGAGGAGCTTGTTACCCCCTCTCCCCAGCGGCAGCTTAATGTACCCGGGGGAGACAGTAAGCCCCACAACTGTGCAGATGGGACCGTGGTCTTTGCACATACAGCACAGGGGGTAGGGACGGTCGGTTCTGCCCCCCAGCGACAGGGCTGTGTAGCTAAAGGGGAGACAGTCGGTCTCCAGCAGCAGAGCTGTGTAACCAAAGGGGAGACAGTTGGTCTCCAGCAGCAGAGCTGTGTGTCCAAAGGGGAGACAGTCGGTCTCCAGCAGCAGGACTGTGTATCTAAAGGGGAGACAGTCGGTCTCCCCCTCCAACAACCAGGCTTCAACCAGGCTACCCTCCCAGTAGCGCTGGCAACAGGGCCGAGTGCCGCTGGTCTCTGTCCATGCAGCACCCCACCAAGTCAGCGTACCTGTACCCAGCACAGCCGTGGTGAGACACCTGGACATGGACAAGCTTCTCCTCTACCCAGGTGCAGTAACCATTTATTGTGGGTGGGCTGTGCTGTTGATTATGTCTTGTGGGTGGGCTGCTGGACTAACAAGGGCACTGACCGGCAGGACGTCAGATACCCTGTTAGTCTGTTTGGAAAAGGGGAGAGATGTGACAAGACCAATCTCGCCACATTGCATTGGAGAAGCCTGGTTGCTCGCCTGCTGCCTTTGGACTATGGCCCCCTGTTAAAAGACATCTTTTTTACCTGCAGAAAAGCTTCATTCGTGCTTTTCTGCCTGGGGTTCGGTAGATTTGTTTGAATGTGTTATACCTCAGATAGGAATCCCATGGAGCCCATTCGTATGAAACTGACTGTAAAGACTTTGGCTCCATGGCGATTAAACTGTATTCGTGTGGTCTGAGTGCCATTCACTTAATAATGTGCGCTCAGACCTGAGCTATCTGGGGATATGTTAAATGTATAGTTTTAATGTAAGGTGTTTTACCTGATGTATTTTAAAGTGTTTTACTGTCTTTGTGTCCCCATGTGCTCAATGGAGTCTGCCTCTATCCCTGGATAATTGGATTACTTTCCCCATTGTCCAGGATAGAGGGCTCTGTAAAACCTGTTTGAGCCAGATAGCCATGCTGCCAGCCAGGGTACAAAAGATACTTTTTACTAACTTTTGAACCCCTGGTCTGATTCATGCCATTTTTTAATATGTTGTTCCCCTGAATGGATTGATTGTGAATATGTAATTTTATGTGAATGTGATGTATGGTTTTAGAGTTATGAAAGTTGGGTAGAAAGTATGTTTTAACTGTATGTGTAATTGAGTTTCCTCTCAGGATAAGGGGAGGGAATATGTGGGATGTAACTGTGATGTGATTGGTTGTTTTATACCTCCCTGTGGGCGGTCCTGTATTTGCAAGACTGTAATAAAAACCAGGCTGGGTGTGCCAGCACCTGAGACCACTGCTTGACCCTCAACACGGAGCCTTGTCTCGTTCTTGGGGGGATTCACTGTATGCTGTTAGAGACTGATTGCCAGGAGTGTAAGCTGATTGTCTGCTTTTCCTGTTCATCTGCTAGCAGCTATTTGGGAGGTTCCAGTTCGGGAGTTGGAGTGCTATTTTGTATCCAGTTCGGGAGTTTGGTGTTCTGCAGTAGTTGTGCCTGTATCTCTGGAAAGGGGGCCGATCACCTAAACGGTTTTTACCCCTTGTGTGCAAAACGGTCCGTTACAGTGATAAACCGATAGGGTCGCAAAATAAGTCACACAATACATGCAGATACAGACTGGAATATGAGGAAGAGACCGAATACAAAAGTACAACACACAGGTACCACGGCAATAGCCACCCTGACAAACCCCACAAAAACAGAGCTACCACAAAGACCTATGTGTACCTAGAGAGCACAGTGTTTGCGAACCCAAAATAAAATGTATGGGGACAGGAAGGGGGGCTCTATCCCACCAAAATACAGAGGGAAGAAAACAAGACCTCTAGAAGGGAAAACGTAGACTGAGACCTACCCCAAAGGTCATATTGAAAAGGTTCTTACTCATGAAAACAAAAATGTATGGGACCTGCATGTCCGTCGAACATGTGGGCCTGCGAGCCCAAACATACCTGTATATAAACTAAACCTAATGCAATCCTATGTCATATGAATACATGCGAATCTGAAGCCTGCGAGCCTCAATGTACAATCCTAAAGGAAAAACAAATAAAAATATATTTACAAAAAAAACCCAAAAAACATTTAATCATATATGCTGATACATGTCTTCCTGAACCCAAAGGCTGTATGCTATGCAACCTGATTATGATATGGGAGGGGTCCTATAGGGTGGGAAATATTTGCCTCCTGACATTACTAAAATTAAGATTATTAGTACACTAAAGCTAGTATAATCTTCAATTTTACCACATGACAGGAGGCTTTATATTTGCATTTTTAAAGCTTTGAATTAACTAATGTGAAGGAAGCATGAGATGTTTGACAAAAATAAAACGTCCTAAATGTACTCTCTCGCGTCCAATCCGCGCAGCTCATAATGTTGGCTAGGGAGGCGCCTGCCAATAAAGCTTGTGAGGCTGCCGCACCTCTGACCGAGTGCGCCCCGAAGCAAGGTTGAACGCCAGCAAACGATAATAGCCAGCGGACCCATCTAGCCAGTGTCGTCGTAAAAAACACCGGCCCATGAGGCCCTACATAAGAAATCAGGAGCATATCTTGTGGGTGCGTGTATATCGAAGTACCCGTGGAATCATGGAGGACGGTGGGAATGCATATGCCCCCTGTGTGGGCAAGGTTTGTAGAAATGCGTCTGCAGCTTTGCCTTTCGGGTCCGGAAGCCAACTGTAGTATCTCGGTAGTTGGTGGTTGGTCCTGGACAGTGGGATCCAGTGACAGTGGGATCCAGTGATCGTATGAATGTCCGGTGTGTAGATATCCCGCCTTTAGCCATTGCATGGGCCTGCAGTGTAACGGGCCCGGGAATATCGCTTGTATGGAGGAGGAGAGGAGTCCCACAATCCGGGCGAGCATTCTGAGTGGTATCGTATCCATCCTCAGTACCCGTCTGATTTCCTTCCGTATCGAGGCTATCTTCGCTGAGGGTAACCGTAGAACGCAGTCCTTCGAGTCGATGTCGAAGCCGAGGAATTGGACTGACTGGGAGGGGGAGAGAGACGATTTTTGTCTGTTCACTACAAAACCCAAAAATTCCAGCAAGTGAACGACAAATTTCGTCTGCAATCACAGTCTGGAAGTGGATTCGCAAAAGATTAGCAAATCGTCCAAGTATACGAGACATCGTATGCCCAAAGTTTGGATATGAGCCATCACTGGTCTCAACAGCTTCGTGAAGCACCATGGAGCCGAACTGAGGCCGAATGGCAGACATGTAAACTGGCATATTTGTCCTCTCCATTGGAAGCGAAGAAAGCACCGGCAGTGTACGTCCACTGGTACTGACCGGTATGCGTCTTTGAGGTCCAGACGCGTAAACCAGTCGTTCTTAATGAGAAGGTCTTGCAGAAGATGGATTCCTTTCATCTTGAAATGTCTGTATATTACGTATGAATTCAACTGTCGGAGGTTGATAACTGGTTTGTAGTCGCCTGTTTTCTTCTTGACCAGGAAGATGTTGCTTAGGAAGCCTCCCCCTCCTGGTGTGTATTGTATTGCGCCTTTTTTTGAAGAGTGTGTGGATCTCCTCGTCCACCAGGCGTTCTTGTTCCTCTGACGTGTATCGGAGGAGGGGGGCGGTTTGCACGGGTTGTGAGTAGAAATCTATGACGAAGCCGAGTACTGTCTGGAGGACCCAGGCGTCTTTGGTAATTAGCTCCCAGTTCTGTAAGAAAAAAGCCAGGCTCCCTGCTATAAAATTGGAAACATTTTGAGAAACATTAGAGAAACAGCCACGTCCTCGACCTCTGAAGCCTCTAGTTCTTCCTGCCCCTCTGTACGATGAGGATGTTTGTGTTGTAGATGGAAGAAGCTTGGAGCTTGTGGGTACGATCTGGAACCTGTCGCCCAAAAGCGGCTGGTGGCTCGGTTCCACTGCCGACCAGCCCTCCTAAAAACACCTCTTCCTGAGGGGGTGTGGAAAACCTGCTTGAGTGAGGTTTGGGCCTTATTCAAGGTGGTGAATAGGTTTACATGCTTTTTAAGCTCTGTGATGAAAGCATCGCCAAACAACCGTCCTTGTGCTTTCGGGCCGAATTCCTTAGCTCCTAGATCCAGGAGTTTGCTATCTATGCGGATCAGTGCTGACTTGCGTCTTTCGGTGCAATGGGGCGTTTGCATTGCCCAGAAGGCATACTGATCATTGAGCCCATTCACGTATGATGTTAGGGTCGAGTTGAGAGCCCTGGCTGAGTGCTAGATACACGAAATAGAGTACCTTAGCGATGGGGCAGAGTAAATCCAGCACTTTGTCTTGTGCTGCCTTCATGCCTTTCTCCACACCCTTTCTAGGGTCTCGTCCCGAACATGACATAAAGACCACTACCGTGTTGTCAAACTCGGGCGTAAGTGCCACTTTATCAGGTAGCAGTGGTCTGGGGCATTCGGCCTTGAGGCGTGCCCGTACCTCTTTTTCCATTTGCGCAGCCAATAGTGTACGAACCGCGTCATATGGTCCGGTCAATATATCGCTATCTATGTGTGCAGCCGCAGGCCCCCGCTCCCTCTTACCACAGAAGGGGTCCAGCACACTGCCTGTTCTCCTCTCTTCTCTCTTCTAATAACTCTCTCGAGACCCGCGGTCTTCTGAGCATTGCCATGTCAACGCTCTGCGCGGCACACAGGCCGTGGGTCTCGCGAGAGTTATTAGAAGAGAGAAGAGAGGAGAACAGGCAGTGTTCTGGGCCCCCTCTGCGGTTACAGGGAGCCGGGGGGGCCCCCATGTCACCGGACCACCAGGGAATGAATCTCCCCCCTCCCTGGACACAGGTAAGAAGCAGGGAGGGGGGAGAAACATTTAATTAAATTTTATAGAAGATTACTGTAAAAATGCCCCTTCCTCCCCCTCCACCCCAGATTGCACATTTACACACACACTGCATACACTAACACAACACACACACACACTACATACACTAACACAACACACACACTGCATACACTAACACAACACACTACATACACTAACACAACACACACAAACACACACTGCATACACTAACACAACACACACTCACTGCATACACTAACACAACACACACTAACACAACACACACACTGCATACACTAACACAACAACATACACTAACACAACACACACTACATACACTAACACAACACACACATTGCATACACTAACACAACAACATACACTAACACAACACACACTACATACACTAACACAACGCACACACTGCATACACTAACACAACACACAAACACTAACACACACACACTGCATACACTAACACAACACACCTACACTACATACACTAACACAAAACACACACTTCATACATTAACACAACACACACTGCATACACTAACACAACACACACACTGCATATACTAACACAACACACACACTGCATACACTAGTACAATACACTCTGTTTTCACTACACTAACACACACTCTGCATTCACTACACACTAACACACTCTCTGCATCCACTACACTGACACACACTCTGCATTCACTACACACTAACACACACTCTGCATTCATTACACACTAACACACACTCTGCATTCACTAAACTATGCACACACTCTGCATTCACTATACTGACACACACTCTGCATTTACTATACTGACACACCCTCTGCATTCACTATACTAACACACACTCTGCATTCACTACACTAACATACACTCTGCATTAACTGTACACACAGCATCCACAACACAAACATCCTGTATTCACAGTACGCACACTACATCCACCACAAATTGAAACACTCTGCATTCACTATACACAGACACTGCATCTAATACACACACTACATCCACTACAGACACTGCATCCACTAAACACATTTCATCTAGTACACACAAAAACTACATCCACTACACAAACTCACACTACATCACTGTACACACACTACAGCCTGTGTGTGTGTGTGACTGTCTGTGTGACTGCCTTCCTGTGTGTGTGTGTGTGTGTGTGACTGCCTGCCTGTGTGTGTGTGTGACTGTCTGTCTGTGTGTGTGACTGTCTGACTGCCTGTGTGTTTGTGTCTTCTTGCCTGTGTGTGTGTGACTGTCTGTGTGACTGTCTGTCTGCCTGTCTGTATGTGTGACTGTCTGTCTGTGTGACTGCCTGCCTGTGTGTGACTGTGTGTGTGACTGCCTGCCTGTGTGTGTGTGACTGTGTGTGTGTGTCTGTGTGACTGTCTGTCTGTGTGTGACTGCTTGTGTGTGTGTGTGTGACTGTCTGTGACTCCAATTGTGTGTGTCACTGTAGTTGTGCCATTGTGTGTGCCTGTGCCTGTATGTGTGACTGCCTTTAACTGAGTGTGTGTGTGTGCATGCCTGTAACCGAGTGTGTATGACTGTCTGCTTGTAATGGAGTATGTGTGACTGTCTGCTTGTGACTGTGTGTGTGACTGTGTGCCAGTAACTGTTTGTGATTGTGTGTCTGTAACGGTGTGTGACTGTCTGCCTTTAACTGTGTGTTTGGCTCTGTGACTGCCTGTAACTGAGCATGTGTGACTGTCTGCCTGTAAGTGTATGTTTGTGTGTGTGACTGTCTGCCTGTAACTGAGCATTTCTGACTGTCTGCTTGTAACTGTTTGTGTGACTGTCTGCCTTTGTGTGTGTCTGCCTGCCTGTGTGTGTTTGTGACTGTCTGTCTGTGGGACTGTCTGCCTGTCTGTCTGTGTGACTGTCTGTCTGTGTGACTGCCTGTGTGTGTGACTGTTTGCCTGTTTGTGTGACTGCCTGCTTCTGTGTGTGACTGTCTGTCTGTGTGACTGCCTGCCTGTGTATGTCTGCCTGTGTGTGTGTGACTGTCTGTCTGTGTGATTGCCTGCCTGTGTGTGTGTGTGACTGTCTGTCTGTGTGACTGCCTTCCTGTGTGTGTGTGTGACTGCCTGCCTGTGTGTGTGTGTGACTGTCTGTCTGTGTGACTGCCTTCCTCTGTGTGTGTGTGTGACTGCCTGCCTGTGTGTTTGACTGTCTGACTGCCTGTGTGTTTGTGTCTGACTGCCTGTGTGTGTGACTGTCTGTGTGACTGTCTGCCTGTCTGTATGTGTGACTGTCTGTCTGTGTGACTGCTTGCCTGTGTGTGATTGTGTGTGTGTGACTGCCTGCCTGTGTGTGTGTGTGACTGTGTGTGTCTGTGTGACTGCCTGTCTGTGTGTGTGTGTGACTGCCTGTATGTGTGTGTGACTGTCTGTGACTCCAATTATGTGTGTCACTGTAGTTGTGCCGTTGTGTGTGCCTGTGCCTGTATGTGTGACTGCCTTTAACTGAGTGTGTGTGTGTGCATGCCTGTAACCAAGTGTGTATGACTGTCTGCTTGTAATGGAGTATGTGTGACTGTCTGCTTGTGACTGTGTGTGTGACTGTGTGCCAGTAACTGTTTGTGATTGTGTGTCTGTAACTGTGTGTGACTGTCTGCCTTTAACTGTGTGTTTGGCTCTGTGACTGCCTGTAACTGAGCATGTGTGACTGTCTGCCTGTAAGTGTATGTTTGTGTGTGTGACTGTCTGCCTGTAACTGAGCATTTCTGACTGTCTGCTTGTAACTGTTTGTGTGACTGTCTGCCTTTGTGTGTGTCTGCCTGCCTGTGTGTGTGTGTGTGTTTGTGACTGTCTGTCTGTGGGACTGCCTGCCTGTCTGTCTGTGTGACTGTCTGTCTGTGTGACTGCCTGTGTGTGTGACTGTTTGCCTGTTTGTGTGACTGCCTGCTTCTGTGTGTGACTGTCTGTCTGTGTGACTGCCTGCCTGTGTATGTCTGCCTGTGTGTGTGTGACTGTCTGTCTGTGTGATTGCCTGCCTGTGTGTGTGTGTGACTGTCTGTCTGTGTGACTGCCTTCCTGTGTGTGTGTGTGTGTGACTGCCTGCCTGTGTGTGTGTGTGACTGTCTGTCTGTGTGACTGCCTTCCTGTGTGTGTGTGACTGCCTGCCTGTGTGTGTGACTGTCTGACTGCCTGTGTGTTTGTGTCTGACTGCCTGTGTGTGTGTGTGACTGTCTGTGTGACTGTCTGCCTGTCTGTATGTGTGACTGTCTGTCTGTGTGACTGCTTGCCTGTGTGTGACTGTCTGTGTGTGTGTGACTGCCTGCCTGTGTGTGTGTGTGACTGTGTGTGTGTGTGTCTGTGTGACTGCCTGTCTGTGTGT